CTGGCCAAACTCTCTGTACTATGATGGCACACTTGGTGTGACTCTCTACCTGGGACTTTTCACTAGAACACTAAAACTGGTTTCTATAAGAGAGCTTGTTTAGCCTCCAGCTTCTCCTCTGCCATCTTCCTCTGGACCACTTAAAGTCTTTATACTTCATAGCAGTCCCAATTTGGGGACCCAGACTTTAATTAAAAGAAGTTTTGAAGTACATATGGCAAAACTATAACACTGAATAATATACTAGTATATTACATACAAGTCAACTTAAAAATGATTATATTAATTGAACATTACCTGTGTCTCAATGCTTCTAAATAGTATTTTAATCATTTAATATCAGATTTTTCATGTACTAGCTATTACTTTAGGCACAGCTTTCAATTATTTCATTTCATCTTTTCTCATAACTCTTATTACACTATATGTCTCCTAGTATTACTTTGAGAAACTTTTTTTTCAAGTATCTAATAACATCTTAAATGTTAAATCAGTCATCATTGGAACAGATCTTTAATCCTTAGTGCTGTGGGAAAAGAGGTATGAGAAAGTGTTTTAAGATAGAAATCATACCTCATGTATTTTAATGTACCCCATTTTTTTCCTCACCACAGTCATTTTTCTGTCTTTTTTTCTATTTGTTACTGTTTAATTTTTTAAAAAAATATTTTATTGGTATTTTAAAGGTGAAATATGATATACAGAGGTGTTACAGTTCCATAATTCAGGTAATGAATACATTACTTTTTGCACTATGTCATCCTTTCCTTTGCTCTCTCTCTGTTTTTCCTTCCCATTCCCACTGAGAGTTTTCATTTTCAACATATTGTCTGGTAAGCACCACTGCTGTACTTGTTCACCATTTATATCTCTATTTCTATGCTTCTCTTCCCCTGCCAAATACACATAAATGAACAAACAAGACAAAAATGTCTTGTTTCCATGTCCTGGATTTTATTTTGCTAAGTATGTTATATGATCGGAGGCACATAGGCATTGTGCCTTTGTGTTCCTCCCGGGAGAGTATCCTCCTTTGATCTTGCACTATGTGAATGCCAGAGTTCACTTATCATGTCCCAGGGTATTTTAGATCTAGACTCTACATACTAGAGAAAATATTCACTGTTGGTCTTTCTATGCTTGGTTTACCTCACTTAACATGATTTGTACCAGGTCCATCTATTTCTTTGCAAATGACATAATACTATTCCTTCTAATGGCTATGTAATATTCCCTTATGTAGAGGCACTGCATTTTTTGGAACCCCTTATCTATTGTAGGGCCATTTAGGCTATTTCCATAACCTGGCTATTGTGAATAATACAGCAATGAACATGGATGTGTCAGTATCTTTATGGTATCCTGGCTTGTGATGCTCTGAGTGGATGCTCTAGGAATGGTATGGCTTGGCCATAGGGAAGATCTATGTTGAGTGTTTTGAGCAACTTCTAGATGGCTTCCAGATTGGTTGTACTCATTTACAATCCCACAAGTATGCAGTAAGTTTCCTTTTCCCCATATACTCACCATCTCAATAGATATTGCAAAAGCATTTGACAAGATCCAATACCCACCCCTTTATGATGAAAGCTCTGGAGAAACTAGGAATCCATAGAACATTCTGCAATAAAAGATGTATATGAAAGACCTATAGCCAGCAATTTACTTAATGGTGAAAAGTTAAAACCATTTCCTCTAAAAGGAGGAGTAAGACAAGGATGCCTGCTCTCTCTCCTCCTCTTCAATATTGTATTGGAATTCCTACCCACAGCAATAAAGCAAGAGACAAACATAAAAGAAATCCAAATAGGGAAATAAGAAGTAAAACTCTTCTCTGCAGATGATGTGAACTTGTACTTAAAGATCCCCGTAGACTCCTCTGGCAAGTTACTTGAACTCATCAGAAACTTTGTCAAAGTAGCAGGGTACAAAATTAACCCACAAAAATCAGGAGATTTTCTGTATGCAAGCAATAAGAAGAGGATGGCTGAAAGCAAAAAAAGCAACTCTTTCTGTAATGGCCTTTAAAAATACCTAGGAATAAACCTAACGGGGTGAAGGACCTCTACGATGAAAACTTTAAAAGCCTAGAAAAGCAGACTCCACATAGAGCTAGCTCCCCTATGATCCAGGAGCCCCACTTTTGGGCATTTACCCAAATGTTTACAAACAAGACCACACTAAAGCTACCAGCACAACTATGTTTATTGTAGCATTATTTACCATAGCTAAGATCTGGAACCAACCCAGATGCCCCTCAGTAGATGAATGGATCAAGAAAATGTGGTATATATACACAATGGAATTCTATACCTCCATCAGAAAGAATGACATTGCCCCATTTGTGAGGAAATGGAAAGACTTGGAAAAAATTATATTAAGTGAAGTAAGCCAAGCTCAAAGAAACATAGGTCCCATGATTTCCCTTATTTGCAATATCTAGTATATGTATGAGTCAAGCAGAAAAGGTCAGATAAGGTAATGTTAGGAAAATGAACCCTAAGATATGTATTTTAAATGTTTTTTTTCTTTCATGCATTTGTTTCTAATGTAATTATAAGATTATTTCTTTGTTGCTTTGTATGTCCCTCCCCCACAGTATAACCCCTGTTTTCACTGTATTCGATCTCAGTATAATTTGTGGAGGGGAAGGGGAAAAACAAGTCCTTTAAATAATGATACAAGTGGACCCGTTGCAACAATGAGTAGTACAAGTTGTCATGTCAAAAACGAACTGTACAACTTGGTGGGGGGTTGGACTGGGGGGGAGAGAGGATGGGAAGGGATGGGAAGGGTAAACAAAGGAGGAGGCTACAATGCTTGATAAGAAATGTACTCACTATCTTGCCCATGTAATTGTAACCCCTCTGTACAGTATTTTCACAATAAAAAAATAAAAAAAAACTAGAAAACAAATTAAAACAGATTTAAGGAAGTGGAAAATCCTCCCATGAGCCTTGATTAGGAGAATAACGTTGTGAAAATGGCAATACTGCCAAATACTATCTACAAATTCAATGTGATACCTTTCAACATCCCAACCTCATTCTTCAAGGAAATAGAAGAAGCAACACAAAATTTCATATGGACCAATGAAAGACCCTGAATAGCAAAAAAAATTCTTAGCAGAAAGAACAGTGCTGGAGGAATATCAATACCAAATTTCAAACTCTATTACAAAGCCATAGTAATCAAAACAGATTGGTACTGGCACAAGAGCAGACCTGAGGAGCAGCGGGATAGAAATGAAGACCTGGAAATGAATCAACCTAATCTTCAATAAGGGAACTAGAAAACAGAATGGAAAAATCTCTTCAATAAATGGTGATGGCAAAATTGGTTAAACATTTGTAGAAAACTAAAGCTAGATCCTAATCTATCACCCAGCAAACAGAATCAACTCCAAATGGATCAAAGACCTTGAGGTAAGAGCAAAGACCCTGAAAATATTACAGGAAGGGATAATGGAAACACTAGAGATCCTTGGCACAGATCAAACCTTCCTAAATAAATATCCAGAAACATAACAAATGAAAGAAAGTCTGGACAAATGGGATTGCATTAAACTGTAGAGTTTCTGCATGGCAAAGGACATAGCTGGGAAGTTTAATAGAAAGCCCATGGACTGGGAGAAGATCTTCACTAGATATACAACAGACAAGGGACTCATAGCTAAAATATAGTTAGTAGTCAAAAAATTAAATCCCCCAACAACAAATCCTCAAAAAATCAATGGCCCGATTAATAAATGGGCTAAAGAAAGAGATTTTTCTGAAGGAGATATAAGAATGGCCAATAGACACATGAAGAAATACTCAACTTCTCTGTCCATAAAAGAAATGCAAATCAAAGCAATATTGAGATTCCACCTAACCCCAGTTAGCATGGCTCAAATCAAGAAATCAATTAATAACAGAGGGAATGTGGCCAAAAGGGAACTCTAGTGCACTATTTGTAGGAGTGTAAACTTGTTTGACCACTCGAAAGCAGTATGGAGGTTCCTCAAAAGAGCTCCCCTATGACCCGGCAATCCCACTTCTAGGCATTTACCCAATTGACACAAACAAGGCCATACTGAAGCTAGCAGCACACCATTGCTAATATATGGAACCAACTCAGATGGCCCTTAGTAGATGAATGGATCAAGAACATGTTAGACAATAGGTTGGACATCCCTTGACTTATCCTTTTGAATTGTTACGAAGTACTAACAGTTTTAATTATTATGATTATATTAGTTTACTAATCAGTAACTGAATGTAACTGAAATGTAGAAGTGAGAGTGTTCGCAACATTTTCATGTACCTTGTTTGTCTTGATTTTGCTTTTAACTAGTGTGCCATGACTGATATTTCTCTGGCTGTATTTTTTTCCTTCAAAATAGCCTATTTATGCAGGTACTTTCAACTTTGGGAATTTAAAGAGCACAAATTTTATGCTCCCATCAGAAAGAATGATACCACCATATTTGCTAGGACATGGAAAGACTTGGGAAAAAAATATATGAATTGAAGTAAGCCAGACCCAAAGAAATGTTGGTCCCATGGTTTCTCCTAGTTGCAATAATTAGAATATGTCTAGGAAAATTTTATCAGATGAGCAGAAAAGCTCAAAAGCTATGTACATATGACCATATAAGATGATGCTAAATGAAATGAATCGCAAGATATTGACACAAGAAGTCTTTCTTTGTCTTTGCTGTTGTTTTTAATGTATTATTTGTTTTTATTTTTCTTTTGAGTTTCTGCCTCACCCCAGTTAGCATGGCCATTAACAAGAAAATTAATAATAACCAATGCTGGCTGGTATGTGGCCTAAAGGGAATACTACCTCACAGTTGATGGAATGTAAGTTGGTATTCATGAACTTTATTGATTACAGTTTGAATTTCTCCTTTGTTTGTGAAAGAGTAACATTTTTTGGCCAGTCCTGGGGCTTAAACTCAGGGCCTGGGCACTGTACTTGAGCTTCTTTTTCTCAAAACTAGCACTCCACTTGAGTCACAGTGTCAATTCCGGCTTTTTCTGTGTATATTGAGGACTCGAACTCAGGGCTTCATGCATAGTAGGCAAACACTCTAGTGGCCATTTAACAGACATGATCCCACAGATCTATGGATACCTAATCTTTGTTAAGGGAGCCCAAAGTATCAGATGGAAGGAAAACAGCCTCTTCAACAAATGGTGTTGGTAGAAAACTGAAATTAGATTCTTTATATGTCACCGTGCACCGGAATCAACTCCAAATGGTAAGAGCAGAGACCCTGAAAATGTTACAGGAAGGGATAGGGAAACACTGGGGCTCTTTGGCACAGTCATTTTTCAAATCTCAGAAGTTAAAATTAAATACCTGGTATTCTACATTTGTTATACTTCATTTATAACCTGCAAATGAACATTTTCCAAAGCAACACCATGTTTGCAAATCATCTATGTTGATCTTAAAAATCAAACCCTGAACCCTGGAAAGTCTGTCACAGTTATTCTTAGCCCTAGGAAACCATATTTTATGTTCTAAACAAGTAATCAAAATAATTTAGATGTAAACGATTGATTGACCATATCAAATACACAAAACTTTACTATTCCTTTGTAAATAATGGGCAAATTGAGAAACCCTGTCTTCTCAAAATAATACATTGGACATCCCTTGACTTATCCTTTTGCATCATTACAAAATACTAACAGTTTTAATCATTATGATTAAATCAGTTTAATAGTAACTGAATGTAACAAATGTTGAAGGGAGATTGTTCACAACATTTTCATATACCTAGTTTGTCTTGATTATGCTTTCAACTAGTTGAAATACCATAACTATCATGACTGGTATTTCTCTGGTTATTTTTTTTCCTTCAAAACAGCCTATTTTTACAGGCATTTTCAAGTTTTGGAATTTAAAGACAACAAGTTTTATGCTAGGAAGTTTGTACAGAAGGAAGAGGGAAAACCCAGTATTTTTCCATCAGCATTGAATACCATGCCAAAATTAGTTGAATAACACTCAGTATTTGTTCTTTAGTGTCACTTAATGTTGAAATGTCAGTTGCAAGAAAAATGGTTATAATGTTGGCAGTGAACTAGCAATTATTTTGGGGGTGGGACTGAGAGTAGATTGCTGAAAAAGTATTTTAAATCTCTAAGGGAAAAGAAGCCCTGCAATTAAAGAGCACTCTTTTTAACTGACAGGGGTATTTATTTAGATTTTTAAAAATCATAACCTTTGAGTAATGATTTGTTCCTCAATGTCTCTGCGCAGGTGTTCAGGGGTTCTGAATGAGAGATTTGTCAAGTGTAATTGGTGGGTTATATTACCTTTTTAAAAGGTAGTTATTTCATTGGTGAATAGAAGAGAAGGTATGTGTGGGAAGTTCTATATTCTCCTTAGTATGCTAGGTTTAAAAAAGCCACCATAGAAAACAAGCTTCTTTTATTTGTATAATTATGATTTGAAACAAAATAACAGACACAGTTTGATTTTGCTAGTTTTATGATAATGTTGTCTTAATTCCCAATGTCAAAATGTATTCATCATCTTCTCCACTTTCTTTGACAGTTGGCATTCAAAATCTTGTTAAGTTTTTTCCCTATTGTTTTCAGCTTGAACCAATACATTAATTAAAATAGTAATTGTGTCTCTACAGCAACAAAGCATAATATTGACTTCTCTTCACTTCCCCAAATACGTTGCATAAAGATACATATCTCTTGCACAAGTATATGAGTTATTATGATTAATAATTAATGAACTATCCTATTCTGCTAGCTGGACAAATACATATCACGTCATAAAAGCCTAATGAGACTCACATATTTCATCTCATAAAATTTTTTTCTTAAATTTGTTTTTCTGAATCAGTTGGCTTTATCAGACAAAAATTTTGATGAATCTGATTGTGGCTACCAAACATTTTATTTATGTCTTTGATTCTGATGATACTATGTATAATGCCATTCTTCACTCGTGGTTGCAAATTCTGGTTTCTTAGACACAAATGATTATTTCTGTGAAGATACTGAAAATAAGCTTCAGAACCATTTAGTTAACCATTTCCTTCCAGAACTTCTGTCTTAATTTTTATAATTGCATCTAGCTCACTTTCTCCCCTAATATATGTAAACTACTCTTATGAGGATTATAGTGTCATGGTTGTTGGTGACTTTTATTTTGAAAATGAGGTTTATATTTAATACTAGAATTTATTTATCCATGTATTTGTACAACCAAATACTTTTCTGCTGAAGTAAGTTTTGCCTTTTGTTTCAGCCAACTTTTAAAATTTCTTATGTATATTTTCTATTTCAGCTGTTATCAGAGAGTTATTCTGTAGAATTTGTACATACAGGCTAGGAGCTTTTCTTATATTTTAAAGGAAGATCATGACTGTAACTCTATTTGTGCTGTGTTTACTGATCCACAGAGCATTTTTATGCCTATAGACAATTTCAGTAATTTACTTGGTCCCAGTAAATTACTGATGCTTTCTATATTTTCATGCTGACTGGTAGAAAGTTTTAGACCCATTTTCTATTTTACATCCAGACCAGTACCTCATTTTGTATTTATTCATAGACAGCTCCTGATTTTATTAACACCATCCTCACAGTTGTGCTCACTGATACAATAAATTTGTTACTATACATCATTCCCCCATCTTTCAGGTTTATTTTATGCTTATTGTACAGGTTCTTAAAAGGAAACTGGACTGGTTCATACAATTTCTTATTCACTATTTTCATGCTACTTTATTCTTTCTTACAATAGGTAGGTATCATATTCAATACATTTCTTTTATTATATTTTATGATAACTATATTGGTTTAGGGGCTATATAGATGTATATTCTTAATTTCTACCATAAAGATTATTGTGGCTCTCTTTTTTTGTCAGTGAAACCTAGAATTCCATTTTAGGCAAAAAGTGTGCCTGATATGAAGATTGCAACCATGAGTGGCATGAAGCTATGCAAATGTTAGGAGGTGGCCCTGGTTCCATTCTCCAGTATTTTTCCTAATTTAATTTTTTTCTTTTGACTTTAAGAGATTCCATGTCTTTACATTTTCAAGCATATGTGTGTGTGTATATATTAATATACTTATTCTTTCAGTCTTTAAGAAACTTTCTGTGTTTTTAGAAAAAAATCCAAATTTGTGTAATCAATATGAAAGGGTAAATTTTTTCTTCAAAGTTTGTGTGTGTTTGAAGAGATACACTGAATAGAAAGAATGGAGGACCTTGTTATTTTCTTCCATCCATTAAATCAATAACATTTGTTTATTAATCTTCTCAGTTTGTACTCATAGTTTTAACCAGCACATTTACTTTTTTTTTTTAACCTACATCTTTAAAAATAAAGAGAAGAGGATCAATACTTGATAAAAATTTCTTGTCTGTTCCTAATATCCATTTTGGAATATTTCCAATTTTATTTACAATACAGAATTACCTTTATATTTTTCAAAAGCTTTTGGAAAAAAATATTGAGGCTGTTGCTTGGTATCCTTGGTATGTCTGTGGGGAGATGGTGCTTGCATGCGTGTGTGTGTGTGTGTGTGTGTGTGTGTGTGTGTGTGTGTGTGTATGATTACTTGTTGAGTTTCGTATGCTCAGAGTTTAATTTTGGAATTATTATTTCAACGTACATCTCCTAGGATGACTTTCTATTTGTATTTCCCTAGACTTTAGACCAGGTATGGTACATGTTAGGCTCAAGATGCAGGAAGATTGAAAATCCACAACAACCCTAAGCAAAATCTTGAAACCATCTCTAAAAAGTAAACTAATGCAAAAATTATTAGAAGCATGGCCTAAGCAGTAGAACACTTGGCTAGCAAGTACAAGGCACTGAGTTCAAAACACAGTAATACCACAGGGGAAACATGATTATTGACTCTCTCCCCTCTCTCCCCCCCCCCCCCGCCTCTCTTCTAGTGATCTGGTGTTTTTATTGACACAAAATACATTTGTACTCTCTAAAATATGCATATACATATATAAATAGATACACATATCTATATATATGCATGTATCTATATGCATACACATATATGTGTATAAATAGATCTCTCTGTTTATGTACATATATTGCACACCCATTCTCTAAACTCTCAGGGGTGTCTACATAATAAGATAATGAGAACCTACAAGTATATAAATTTTTGCACCTTGTTTTGGTACCATGTTGACATCTGGCATTTCCTTCTATTTAGAAAAGTTCCAGTCTCTGATTGTGTTCAGCATTGTTTTGTACTTTGTTTTCTTATCATCCAATTTAGTGGGAGACTTTGCCATCAAGATTTTATTGGACTCATACATTTTACTGCAGTCAGCTCCATGGACTAATGAGAATATCCTAGTCTTTTCTCTAGTTAGATTTCTTCATTTTGGTTATTTATTTACTAAGATAGATTTTTCTCTCACTGTCAAATTAATTTCAAATATATTTTTCCTGTAAGACTTTGTTAAGAGAACAATAGTTTGAATCTCTTTTCCTAAGACATCTTGTCCAGCCAAATGGATTTAATTAACCGTGTGTCTTTTGCGGGAGCTCTAATTTAGACACTAACATACCCTGAGTTTTCAGCAGTACAAGTGTTATAAACTTTTGATCCAACAAGTTCTGTGAGGTTTGGTGTCAATTTGTCAATTAAAAAAAATCTTATATTTGTCTTTTTGTGATTGCAACTGAACAAAACATTGCCACCAACAATAACAAAATAAATATTTGTTAGAGCTGCAAGTTCCTGGATTTCTAAACTCTTCCATGTTATTTGTACTGGAGTCTTTATCCTTTTTCTCTATTTGTCACTTTATGAAAATATCTTATAAACTCAGCTAAAGGCAACCAACACACAATATTACCATTCTGTTTTGTAACATCTAGCTGTAGTTTATCAGCTCATTGTATTCGTGATTGAACCCCAAATTACCACAGGCCATATTTTCCTAATGATCCACTGCTTCCTGAAAAAAATAGAATATTTTTTTCCAATCAACAAATATAATCTGTTTTTGTTTTTGTTTTTGTTTTTTTTTGGGTCCGGTCATGGGGCCTGAACTCTAGGCCAGGGTGCTGTCCCTCAGCTCTTCAGCTCAAGGCTAGCACTCTACCACTTGAGCCACAGTGCCACTTCCGGCTTTTTTCTTTTTGCTTATGTGGTGCTGAGGAATCGAACCCAGGGCCTCAGGCATGCAAGGCAAGCGCTCTACCACTGAGCCACCTTCCCAGCCCCCAACAAATCTAATCTGGTCTTTAAAACTTCATTCAGTTGCAACACATATTTTTTAAATTAATTATTTTTTATTTTTTTATTTAAGTAGTTGTACAATGAATTGCTATTTAACAAAGTTGTTTATGAATACAATATATTTTTATCAATGTCTCCCCTTATTCTAGCCCATCCCATCTAACCCACCCCCTCCCTTACTCTTAATTTTTTAGGATATACATTGAGTTCTTGATTGCATTCTCCCTTTCTTCAGCTCTATTTTTATTTCATTGTGGTTTCATATGACCATTGTAAGTTCAGAAGTTGCAGGATGTGCAGTTTCACAATTTTCCCGCATGCTTGGTGAGAAGTTAGGAAATTTCTGTAATGCACACCTATTTCTTCTTAGTCCTTTGTAATTTGAAGCCAAAGGAAGAACTACAAGCATGACCCACTCTTTCACGCTTATGTCTCATCCTGCAATGTAGTATACCAAATTATTAAGTGTTATATTCTAGATGGAACTGAAATTGAATGATAAATAAGCAATTCTAACTATGTGGTCCAACTGCTTCTAGACTTACTATACTGAAAGAAATTAAACCCAAAGACTGTGAAGCCATTAATAATTATTTCAATCTACACTAAATTTCTGGGAAAGAGGTACTATTTTTTATG